GAAGAACAGGGTAAGTGGATTTTGATGGATGCCAACTCTTTGGCAAGAATGTGCCCTTGTGCAAAAAGTGAGGTCCATAAAAAAATAGTTTGACATGTTTACTGTGGAGGAACTCCAGTGGCCTGCACAGAGCCCTGACCTCAACCCCACTGCACACTTTGGGGTGATTTGGAATGTTGACTGTGGAAAAGGTCATCTCATCCAAAATCAGAGCCTGACCTCACGAATGGTCTTTTGATTGAATGGGCACAAATTCCCACAGACACACTCAAAAAAATCCTGTGGAAAGCCTTTCCTAAAGAGTGGGGGCCGTTATATCTGCAAAGGGATGGCCACTGGATTTTGCCCTCCTATGCCCATTGTTTCGGAATGGAATGTCCAACAAACTCATAAAGGTGTGGTGGTCAAGGTGTCCACATATTTACATACTTAGCTATATAGATATATACACACACACCTTTACACACAAACAGACCAAAAGAAATGCTCTATAGAAATGGACCAATTCACCAACATAGTCTCGTGTGGAGGCCTGCAGTGGACAAAAATTGAGCCCTTTCATAAACAAATATCTTCTACTTTGAGGTTTAAAAATTAAAAGCAGAAGCCTTTGAGCTCTGAAGTCTTTTACTTCTGTTGACGTCTTTGTCTCAGTTGCCTTCACTGCAGTTTAAGCTTGGCACTCAGTACATCAAACCCCTCATCACAAGTCTGAAGGGCAATTCAGAGCACACCGAGTTCCTTTGTTCGTACTTGTCATTTTACCTTCATTGCATCAAAAAGTGTCTTCTAGTGTGCAGGAAAAACCTGCTCACAGTATCTATGAGACTGCACAGTACTGAAGAGGATCCCAGTGATGCTAGTCATTTACCCACTCGCCACACTGAATTCTCTATCATTGCCAAAGTTGCACATTTACCCCACCACAGGAGGCAGCAACGAGTTTCTCCTGAACGAGACCATTCATCCATCGATTAGTCCAAGAAGGAGGACTAGACATAAAGGAAAAGCAAACAAGCAAGAAAAAAAGAAAGAGGGATATGTGAGGGCTTCTTCATTCATTCATTCAATCATTCTATTGTTTGTTTATCTATTTATTAGTTTGTTTATTTAGCTGAGATATTGCTTCACTTTCATTCATTTTTTCTTCCTTCATATAATATATGAAAGAAGGAAAGACAAAACACAAAAGCAAAGAAAGAAAGCTTGAAAAAGGCAGTGACATTATAATAACTTGGCTAAACTGCTCCAGCTCGTTCTACACACACTACAATCACTTTTTTATTTATTTCGTACTAAAACACCAGCTGCCTGTACTTCCAGATGCCACACACTCAAATATCAGCTCAGCTAACAAACAGTAAAGGCTAAGCTGCGGTAGGAATTTTCCCTTTTTTCCACTAAAGACAAGGAGATGAGTGTTCTGCCACTATCAGCGTTTTTAGCCCGTTCTTCAGTCAGAGTGGATGAATGTATTCCTCTTTACTGAGGTCTAGAGTTGGAAAGCAAGGGGAACAATAGGTCAGGGCCTGATTTGTTGGGCCTGGCTCTGCAGCAGAAGAGTTAATAGCCACTCTGGCATCCAGCAGCTGCATTGCTCTGTTAGCCAAGCTGCATTAGCATAACACAGAACATCGCCTGACACCACTGTGACAACAGACCCTTCACACCAGGGACCCGCTGCTGGGCAGCTGGCTGCAACCCCATTGTTATTCAGCAAACTCTCATCCTTTCTCAGCTTTAAATAAGCCTGAGACAGTCCATTAAGCCAGATGATCTGCTCTTTTTTTGAAGAGATTGCTGTTTCTGAAGATGGATCTATCACAAGCATCTGTAGGCTTTAACTGTGAAGGTTAGAGAAATGTAAAAGAATCAACTTCATGTTTTCCTTTACTGTTTAGATTATATCATGTGCTGGTAATTCACTATGGATCATATCCTACATTTAAAGGCTCACATCCTATATTTAAAGGTTCATATTCTACATTTAAAAACTTCATATCCTATATTTGAAGGTTCATATCTTACGTTTAAAGGGTTCATATCCTGAATTTAAAGGGTTCAAATCCTAGATTTAAAGGGTTCATATCCTATATTTTTAAGCATTTTATTTTCCAGGTCCACTTATGACAGTTGTGTGTATGTACCAAACACAGTCATAACATGAATGAATATTTTCCAACTTCTCTTTACTCTGTACAATTTAACAGGCTGTTTTTATTACTTTACTTTTAAGACTGATATATGAGAATGTCCCCTGTTCTGATTGGCTCTTGAGCCTAATTCAAAAAGCACTCACTCTTTATAACTTCAGCATGAATGGGCAGGGCTAAATAGGTTAAATATGTAAATGTGTCACTTTTTGTGACATCACAAAAATAATGAATGAACTGAAAACAGGCTGTTTTTGCAGCTTTGTTTCAATCTATGGTCTGTATGAGACTGGAAGTGCATTTAGAAACTTTACCAATGTTTACATACTACATCACAATTAGTTATCAATATATATGGAAATATATTGGATTAATATATAGGCCCTTTAAACTATAGTTAAACAGGTCAGAGAGATAGCAAGAAAGAGAGAAATAGAGAGAGGAAGACAGAGAGAAAGAGAAAGAGAGAGAAAGAGAGAGAGAGACAGAGAGAGAGAGAGACAGAGAGAGAGAGAGAGAGAGAGAGAGAGAAATAGAGAGAGAGAAAGAAAAAGAGAGAAAGAGAGAGAGAGAGAGAGAGAGAGAGAGAGATGTATTAGAGAGCATTATTAAAACAGAATCAGGTGGCCATACAGAAGCTTTTTACTTGGCTGGAATTCAACTAAACAAAAGACTGACCTCTGCTGACCTCATTTTTTATAACTCACGAATGACTCACATCATGAATCTATGCATAAATAATAGCATTCAAGTTATTTTAGAATATGTTTAGCACATTAAGACATTAAGGATTCATAAGGCTGTGCAGCTTAAAGAGTAACGTGGACTTTTTGGACTTTTTCATAAAAACTTTCTGAAAACCTTCTGAAAAAAATAATATGTAACATGAGATTTTAGTTTAAGAATCTGTTTATTTAAGACTGAAGTGGAATAATTTATTTTTGTATTATTAATTCATGTAATTTAATTTGCAGTAAGGTTTGGTAAAGTATCTGATTGTCACTGTAACCTTTCATTGATTGGCTGAGCTTAAAAGTTTGTGTTTTTCTACTGAAAACAAAGGTATTAATAAAACAAACCCTCTATGCTGCAGTAACAGCCTCTACTCTTCTGGAAAGGCTTTACACTAGCAGTGGGACATTGCTGTGAGGGTTTGATTGCATTCAGTTGCAACAGGATTAGTGAGGTCAGGTACTGATGTTGGATAATTAGTTCTGGATCACATGCACCATTCCATCTCATCCCAAAGGTACTCAATGGAGATTTATCATTCCGGAGAATGTAGTTCCACTGCTCTAAAGCCCAGTGCTGGGGTATTCATACCTCTTTAGCCAGAGCTTGACACTGGGCATGGTGACCTCTTAGAACGTCCTGTACTATCAGTCAGTGCCCATCTATGGTGATTATACAAATCGTGCGTGTGCACCATTTTTGATGCATTTCTGAGGAGATCAGATTTAAGATAATTCTCTTGCATAAGGAAGGGGAAAGTCAATTTAAACCAATTCCATTGAACTTGGTTGTGATGTACTTTATCCTACAAAGGAATTTTGTTATATTGCTGCCTACCTATGCCCACAGAGCAGCACCACCCTTGGCAGTAGGGGGCAACCAGGTATACCCAGTCAATCATGGAATTTGAACCTGCAACCTTCCAGTTGATGGCTCACCACTCCTGCCTCTAGGCTACCAGCCACCCAATTGCCTTTGTACCAATTCAGCGTTGTACAGAATGATGAAACAGTTAGTCTGCTTCTCCAGTGCATTGATGGATAAGAAAAAAATTTGAAAGTGCAAAAACAACAGACAAAAACACAAAGACAATAGGTGCATAGACAGTAAATATAAAAAATGCACATGAACAGTAACTGTAGGTCATAAAGTAAAAGTAGAATTTAAAGTACAAACTAGAGTTAAGCAATAAATGTGGAGTCTGTGAGCGATTTTTGCCTTAGGTGTTTTATAGCATGTATTTAATTGGAAGTGTACAGTATGTTGAGGTAAACCAGGTCAGTGTTTATGAACACCGACATCACAGATGTCACATTCACAAACTGTACAGTACAGGTAAATGAGCAAAGAAAAAAAATGAAACACAAAGACTTTCCAAAGAAAGGGGCCTCCTAACAACCATGAAACCCCTGCTAGACTGTCACCATCAGATAAACAGCACTTAAAGTGTTCATCCTGCAGAAAATGAAACCAACTTCTATGACTGAATTTTGGAATTGTGGAAATATATCCCATCAGATTGAAAAACAAACTTAATGTAAGTCTTCTCAAAAGAATGTGAGCTATAATAATGACACATTAAACACTAATTTTAGTTGTTGAGGCTTCTGTGTGATGTTTCGTGTAGTTTCTGTTTTTCCCTGACACTGGAAAATGAATAACTTGCACTTAATGGCTGTCTTTAACTGCAAATTAAATAAATCAAGGGTGGTTTCTGAGTTGCACAATAGAGATCTCTGTGTAGACCTACTAATAATTTTCTAAGCCAACCACTAAACAAAACCTTAACCTCAGTAACAAAAAATGTTTTTTACAAAAAATGAATCATGTTGTTTTGTCACGAAACACTTCAAAATTGTAAACAGTTGTACATTTCACTTGTTTTTCTCTGGATATATTTATCCTGAAAATGTACAAAAATAAACACATACACACACATATACACACACACACTCTCTTACTACTCTCAGTGGGGAGGGGGCACAGAGGGGAAGGGTTAAAGTAAGCAGTGAAGGAAGGAGGTGTGGGGCAGCTGGGGGGGTGGGGGTGTATAAAGCAGCCAGAGCACACAAGCACTGCTTTATTCTCCCAGTGCCGCTCTGAGAGAACCTAAACCTCACTCACACCCACTGCGCGCTTACACTGCGTGAGCTTCATCACACAGACTTAGGATGGAAACCTTAATGTCGTTAAAAATGAGAAACTGCTGCAGTGTCGTGGCTCTGGCTTCGGTCATCTGTCTCGTCTTTTTCCAAGGTGAGAAGCTTTTGTTTGTTTTAGATGTGACTCGTGTAGTCCAGTTGTGGGACTGCACTGGGAGAGAAGGGGGGTGGGGTCATTTAGGTGAACTGAGGCTGCATTCAAAAGTTTTTTTCTCTCTCAAAACCATTACGTTTTGGAGCGCTCTTTGTTGTGTCTGCAACTCTCCAGATGGCTTCCTGAACTATACTGCAAGCTTTCTTATGATGGTTGCTGGATTGTTTTCTTGCTCACTTGCTCTTTTCTTCATACACCCAAAACAAATGTCCCAAAAAAGGTTCTTTGGAGCAATGCCATAGAACAACCACTTTTGGAAAGAAGTTTTCAGAAGGATGGTTCTTCAAAGAACTGTTGTTTTAAGTGAAATATGCAAGCATGAAGAATCTAAAAGTCCACATCATGCAATAGTTACTAATTAATGTTTTTATTTTCTTAGAATCATAGATCAAAACCAATAATCTTTAAGGAAACTTCACATTTAAAAATGCATGTGTGCTTACATACACACACTTTGCGAATGTAAGCAGACTTGCATTTTTGGGAGCTGGAAGCTGTGGATGCATCTGTTTGTGGGTGTGGATGTGAGTGTGCATGCTTGTTGCAAGCCGTTATGAAGCAATAGCAACGTGTTCTAGTTCTTAAATCTGCTAAGCACCCATAGCTCCGTCTCCTGTCAGGCCAACTGTGGCAAAAACGTCCCAAAACTTCGAGAGCCTGCATTCAGTCTTTACAGATGAATATGTGCTTTTAAATCTGCTCATTGCCGATTCTTTAAAACCAGAAAAGCACTCTTATCGAATCATGTGATCATGCTTTACCCTTCCAATTTTCAGAGGAATGTTATTTGTCGTCGAAAAGCTTGGATTCCCTCCTTCTGGCTGGACCACATATGATGTAATCTGAGAGCAGACACTTTGCGAATGAGAGAGCGTCAATTCCCCAGTCAGTTGCAGTGAAAACAGGATATTGAACAGTGCCATACGCTAACATGCAGTCCTCAGTGCCAAAATGGGCTGGAGCACTAAATGATCTCAGCAGCCTCAGTAAAGACATTCCAAATACACAAGTGGTTGGAGAAAACTGTAAACAAGAAGAGTGCAGTGTTAGAAATGCCTGGGAATTGGCAATCGATATCTTCTCTTACAACCAAACCAGGGGCAAAAGGGGGCCAAGCACCAAGTGGCCACTATATCTATCGTCTAAAACAGAGGTTTCCAGGGCAGTCCTCAAGACCCCTTAGCCAGAGATAAAATATGATCTTCTCCTGCTCTCAACACCTGCCAGTTATACACGTGAGACCACCCTAGTCCTATTATTTTTAAAGGCTATATTGGAAACCTATGTCTATTGCTAACAGGAGGGCACGGCACTTTATGATTGTCTGTTTTAATGGGTGGCACAACCACAGATGCTGCCAGTTACTGTCTCACTTTCGGGTGTGTTTCAGCACTGCATCTAAATATGTTCTGTAAACTTGCTTTATGTTCTTCGCAATAAGTGATGTGAGGAAAAACATGTGTGGCTAAAAAGCAGCCACACCCCTTGCTTTTTCTCACCACTCGTTCTCTCTCGCAGCCTTGTAAAACCACCTTTGTGGTTTATTATTGATTTGTGCTTCTATGTTTACACCTAAACCTAACCTTAACCATAATATCCAGAATGAAGAGGAAGTCTTTCAATTAAATTCAAGACTTATTTATACAGCAATTTTTACATCATCACAAAGCAGCTTTACAAAAAAATCTGGGTCCGAGCTTCAGGTGAGCAAGCCAAGCACGACAGTGGCAAGACAAAAAACCTTGAGTGGAACCAAGACTCAAAAAAAGAACCCATTCTCCTCTGGTCGACAACAGATATCTAAACAATAATGCAACAAGATCTGAATAAAGAATAAGATCTGGCAAATAATATATATCAGTGAACAGAGAAAAAGGAAAGAAATGCAAATTTTTGGCTTGTTGCTTCATTATTTATATCAAAAAGAAATTCTTTTGGCGGCCAGCAAATGTTTTTCTCATCATCATGAACATGTGGCTGTGGAAAACTGTGACTATTAGAGCTAGTCCTTCCGTTCAGACCATCAACATCAAAACCTAGATAAAAATGAGAAAAGTCACCAATACAACTAATTTCTGCTAGCACCTCTGTGGATTGCCTAGTAACATGCTAGCACTAAACAGTGATGCACATGAACATTTGGCCATTCTAGACTAAACATTTGAAGGTTTCAATCAGTGCTTTATTTGAATCTTGTACAAACATACATATATGTTGCATTTTTAGTGAATCTTTAGTAAAGAGCCCTTACATAGAGTTGCCCGTGTTACTGCTCATATTCACAGTCAATTATTTATCTAAGGACTGACCTAGACTGACATTTAATTAATTATTTATCTAAGGACTGACCTAGACTGACATTTAATTAATTATTTATCTAAGGACTGACCTAGACTGACATTTCTTCTTATGAAATTGGTTTAACTCATTTAAAAGTCAAAGCGTCATTAGTTTCATTAGTGTCATTTTCTAATTACGACAGCAAATATCTAACACGTAAGGCCTTCTGTCCGGCTCCTGAAGGCCTTAACAATGGGAGAGGTATTTTGGCTGTATCTACCTAGATTCTGACTGGAAAGCTTTATACTGGATGTTTTAACATTTTAAAACCAAAACCTATTAATACATTAAGAAAACTATAATACTTGTAGAAGTTAAATACATAAAGTATAATTATTATATGAAACAAAGATGAACTAAAAATTACAGACAGTTTTGGTTCCCAGAAATCATTAGGCCTTACTCTCTGAAGGCCTAGAAGGCTTTGAGAGTTTCACAATGGTATTTGGTATATTTGATAGCCCTGCAAACCCTACAATCCTTCAAAGAGTTAAATACAACTGCAAAGGGCAAAAGCTTCATAGATCTATGGCATCATAGACTGATATGAGGACTGAGCGGTTTATAACACAACCACAATGTATGACAAACTACAAGCATTACTTCAATTAGCTTTTCTGTATCTTTAAAGATGCTGACTAATCAATGACTTAATTCATCTTCAATTACAAATTCATTGTCAAATTCCCAAAGTTCCTATGAACGCTCAATCTAAACTGGATCATGTTTCTTCATATGGCTTTCAGTGCTCCTATTGTTCTAACCACACCATGTAATTGCTTCCATGGTTATTATGCACAGCACATTTACAGCAAAATATACATCCACTTCCCCCCCACAACAGCGAAACACAGATAAAACTGTTCTGGCTCAGGTCCCATTATGCTGCTATTATAGCCCACGAGGGAGGCAAATTCTTCTGATAATGGTGGTTTGGCAGGGAGTGAAAAGCTGTTCAAAAAGAACCTGATTAGAAACATAAGCAAATGCAAGCTTCTCTCCATATGTCTGCCCTCTCTATTGGGGTGGAGAAGGCACGAGTCCACATCCGTTTACCAAAACAGGGCCTGTGGAGTGGACGGGTCAGAGGTCACCACGGCATTGGTGGCCACAACCCACCCTTTCCTTTAACTTTTTCTGTCTCGAATTCCATTGCTCTTCTGGGATCTCTAACTGTAGAGACCAGCCACAGGGCACGCTATAAAAGAGAGCGGAGAAGAATAACAGGTTTAAGGTTTCTATGCCATGCATCAGCGTGCTTTATCTCAGAGGAGGTGGCATGAAGGAATCAATTTAAGGCTTGTGTTTCAATAGCATCCCAGATAGATACAGCATTCTTTTTTAAACAGGATCTTCCTGGTTTGTGCGTGAGAGAGGAAAGGAGTGTGGACATCTATCAGCTTTTAACATGCAGCATTGCCCTTCCTGCACTCTCTCACACCCTGCTCTCTTTGAATGAGCACCAATCGAGCAGAAACTTGGAGAATGCAATGGTGTGATCTGTAACATATACAGCACTGACGTCAAAGACACATAACTCAGGCTCTGTTTATATTCTCTGCTGTATCCCCCCGTCTGCTTTACGGTTATGACATAACTTATGCTGACATTACTGGGAAAGTCTGATCACAGGCTTGCACATGATTTAAAATGATACTATGTGTGTGAGAGCTGGTTACGATTTTGAACATATTAAAGAGCCCATATTCTATGTCTTTCTTGTATCGTGGATTGGCCATTAAATTTAAATATGTTCATATGTGACCTCACAAATACTCTAAATAAATGAAAAATTAGAATTGGTCACTACACTAAATACACATGCAATGTGATTGGAGGAACTATTTGCAGAGTACTGGAATATTGACATTAAAAACAACACGCCAAGATTTATATACACATTCATTTTCAAGAAGTATGACTGTTATAGCTGATTAGGAGTTAATTGGTAGCCATTTCTTTTGCATGTGATGTATTTGTGTGTGGCTAAATGCAGTCTGTATTGAGCCAAAGAACAGTATTGCATGTATTTCAACAGAAATTTATAAGAATATTTGAGTGCATAGTTCTTTAAAGCTGCACTATGTAAGATTTGTTTGTTAAAATTAGAAGAAATAGCTTTACTGAGAAGTCAGGATTGAAAAAAACACACACACACTAAAATATAGTGTCTGAGCAGTGTCTGTAAAGCCTGATATAATCTTTATAAAATCAGATACACACTTTGCAGGTGTTTTTTAGACCACATCATATGTTTTTTCGTACTGGTGTCACATACACTGGCTCAAAAAGAAGGTCTGGCTCAATGTTGAGGTCTTAAATGCAAAATCAACATTATACTGATAAAGATATGATGACAATAGTAGATAATTCACTTACATCATTAGAAGACACGTCCTGCATTAAGTGTTGACTGAGCTCTCTTTGAACGCTCTTTCAACACACTCACATTTATCAGATTCATCTGCTCGGGGAAGGGGTCTGAAAATATCTGAGGTTACAAAAAGTTCTTCTGCACATTGCATGCAATTACACATTTCCTCAAGTGAAGTCTCCAAATCCCCAAAACAGAGTGTAGCTTTAAATATCTCCGAATACCCCACCCTTAGACTATCAAACCCATAAGAAAGTACAGGTTAGATCTGAGTTTGCTTATTAAAGCCCCAGGAAACACAGACTAAGTGTTTGTATGACACTAAAATTGACTGCAATATTAAACATCCAGTGAAGTTTTAACATAAAACTATAAAAATATCAGACCTACTGAGAACTGTCTGCGCATTGTCCTAAGATTCTGATGAGCACACTTGATTGACATCCCTCAGTCCAACACTCAAAGCCTGCTACACCAGTGAAGCAGAACTAAACACAACAGCACAAGTAGGGAGAAATGAGTGAAACAGGCTCTGCATTTCATCACTGTCCAAAAAAACGTATCTCCATTTTTTTCAAATTTTCTGCATCATTTGAACACATCAACTGTCCTTTACATTGTGTGAAAATTACATGAGAAATGGACCGACTGAAATGGTCTAAAATAGCTTGTAATAAAATCTTGTTACATTAACTTACATTAAAAGATGTTTTTGTCTTCTGCTGTAAACATACGTTTTTGTTGATATGTGCTTTCTTTAGGCAGTGATGACATACAGGTGGTGTTGCAGACTCCACTATAGTAGGCTACACAAACACTGAGATGAGCAAAAGCTAAATCCTGGCCATTCACTAAAAGTCTCCAACTCAAACAGAGAGACTATGGAAGAAATGAGTTTTGTTAAAGCTGTTTGGGGGAGACTAGACACATCAGCCTTGTGATTAGTGAGGGTGCTGCTTATGTAAGCGTTACCCAAAATAAGGGTCACCTAGTTTACATCAGAAGAGGAGATTATTTTACATGCATCAGCTATTTAATGGACATTGGAAAGTTTTTCATAGGGTATAATTTGTTTATGTATGTTGTATGCTCACAAAAGCAGGATTAACCTAATTAGAAATATTGAATTTTGGTTCTCTGGGGCTTTAAGGCTTGAGGAATGTTATGGGAAGTTGATTACTTATATCTGTAAAATATCCAGAAGGGGCAGGTAAAACAGCAAAGAACTATAAATCTTCCCTGAGAATGACACCAAATTTAGATTCCAGTTTTCAGAAAAAATGTTCTGTTTCTTTAACGCCCAACAAATTCCATGATTAAGGCCTATTGTGACTAGACAGTAGATAACTACAGCTAAGCACTGAAGAACTAAAGTTAGCCACAACTAGCATACTGTTCGGATTTACTTCTTCAGCACATTGGACTGTTCACCTCTTTCATACACTGCTCTGTCCATGAGTGGACTCATGACCTATTTGGAGCCCTCAGTAAATTTTTACTTTATAACGTTATATGTCAAAGAGGACACGTTGTCCTGCACACAGTCTTTTAACAAACCTTAATGATAGCAATACAAACGCAAGCACTAACACAGTCCTGTTTAATCAGATTAATTCATCAAGATGACTCTCAGGCAGCCAAGTTAATTAGTTAACTAACTTCCTATTAAAATGAATGTAGACCTGTGCATGTGAGCCACACAGGGCTTAGCTATGCACTCAGTGGTACCCTGCTCTCTCTGTATGCACGTCATTCTGCTGAATGGGGAAAGGAGTACCTCATTCAGAGCGGTTTGTTTATTTACTCCTTTATATATTTTTGTTCCTCTTCCTCCACTTTAATCATGATGAAAGGGCCTCTCCCCTGAACAAAGCGTGGGGGTAATCAGAAGCAGAGCAATTTGGATGAGATGAAGGAGACTCATTTCTGCGGGCTGCCTGTGGAGCACAAGCTTCAGATTCACTATGCCCTAATAAGACAGATGAATTCACCCAGTAAAAATACACAGGGCATAACATGTGTACCTTCAGCCTCAGCAGTTACTGTCATTTTACAGCTTAACTGGGCCTGGAATTTTGGTCCAAACCCAAATATAGCCCAACAAAAGTTTATATCTGACCTAAGCAAAAGGGCCAAGTATTGAAACTGAAGCCAGCCTGAGCCTGACAAGATTCTGTCCAAACCCAGCCGTCATCAACCAGACACCAAAAAAACCCTCCATATTCTTAATGACAGTGACTGCTAAATTAGCAACAATGACAGCCATCATCTGATCAATAAACAAAATGTGAAATTAATAGCATAGACCTTTTAATAGCATAGACAATGAATCTTTTTTGTTCATTGTATGTGGCTGTTACAGACCATGGCTGAGAATGGCTGGTTAGCTAACATGTTTCCTAGCTGTCAATACTTAGTATCTCCCAACTGATGCCAGATACAGCTGAAGTTCAAATTACTCAGTGCTGCCCTCTAAACTTATTATAGTGCCAAGTTAGAAGTTAGAACTTCTGTTGTTTTTGTAAGATCCATCAAAAAAAATGCATCTTCTGCTTTCTTTCATTTACATTAATTTGTCTCAAAACACAAAAACACACCCAATCCACTTTTTGTTGTATGTAAACATGTTAAACAGCATAAATAAGGCCAACGTAATAGTCATGACAGGCTGATAAATGCCCAATAAAAATATTCTAAATTTAGTTTAAATTCCATTTTAACACACTTATTCATCAATAAAACATAAAACCATCTGGGATAGCATAGCAATGGCCTAGCAACAGCAATCACCTACGGTAGCATAGCAATGGCCTACCAACACCTTAGCAACCGCCTGGGATACCATAGCAATGGCCTAGCAATAGCAGTTACCTACAGTAGCATAGCAATGGCCCACCAACACCTTATCAAACATCTGGGATATCATAGCAATGGCCGAGCAACACCTTAGCAACCACCTGGGATACTATCACATTGGCCTAGCAATACCTTAGCAACCACCTAGTGGTTAACACAACACCATAACAATGGCCTAGCAACACCTTAGCAATTACTTGTGATGAATAAAAACGCTTACATCTCCAAACAACATCCCGTAAGTTTTTAGTCTGGAACTTTACATAGGCTGTGTTGTTCTCATGCTGGCCTTGTGGACCTTAGTGGGCCTTTCTACCAATAACATGAGTGACCCCAGCCAAATTAAAATGATCTAATATAATAAAAGCAGGTAAGAAGCAGAAAATATGAAATGCAGGTTCTATAAACAAATGCAAAATCTGTCAAAAGTGGGAGATGACCAAATTGGACATTTCAAACACAGAAGTGATGTCTGGACCTGACCGAACCCAATGTGGAGAGTTGGATCCTCTCAGATCACAATATTTGAAGCTTTGGAGCTGAGTTGTGGAATGCTGGTGCCGTGAGAGTTGTAAAAGCCACAACCCTCAGCCTAGCATCTCTAGGATTAGTGGGTCAGCCCCTCCTTCACTTCCTCTTTTCCTCCCTTTTTCTTTTCGCCCAATTCCCTTCTGGCTCTGGGCCGAGGGGAATCCACATATCCCCTTTCCTGAGGCATTCTTTTGCTGGCCTCTTGAAGCATTCCACAACAGGGAATTCTCCTGGGATTTAACACAAGTGAAGGAATAACGGCAGTGATTTTGGATTAATCTGGTTGAGTTGAGGGAAAAGAAGAGAAGCTACTCTAAGAAATCAGAGGAGGGCAGAATGACTATAACATCTGTAGGGGAGGGCTTAAAGGGTTCCTGTGGTGGTGCAGAGTTTAACTGTAAGGGGGTGGGGTTGGTTTTTTCAAGAAGTATGTAGCCCCTTTTATATACACAGCATGGACCATGTCTGTGTTTGTTTTTTTCAGAAACACTAGTCGCTCCTATCTTTTACCCAACAATGTCTTCATTGTTTATTGGACTGACTGGCTTGCTTGGGGACAGTCCATGATATTTACTTGTTGAACTAATTACTTATTTAGCTTAGACTCCTCACACCATATTTAATTTTTTCTTTTGTTTATCCCCTAAAGTCCACTTCCACATTGCTTTGCTGTACAGAACAAGAACAGTAATTCATTTTTTTTACGTGACCATTTTCCAACCTCTTGTGTCTTCAATCTCTGTTCTAATGGGCCGCCTTGTTTCCTGTTTGTTTAAAACACAGTCAAGGCTGAAATGTAAGGAACATACTGTTAAATTCAGATTGAAATCCTCAGGAATATCAGAAAAATACATTTTAGTCACTGTTTTTGCCTGTCTGGATCCTTTGAAAGGCTGCAGTGATTAGTTTGCTTCAGCCAAGGACAGCACAACATTTAATCCTTTGTCCCCACATCTTTCACTCCAACTACTGCAGAATTCCTGCAGTACCAACACTCCTTATCACTTCAGTGTGAATTTGTAATTTTGATCATGGCTGTAATATCACTTTTTCACAATTAAAAACAGGCTGTTTACATAGTATCAAACAGTATCAAACTCATTTTCCCAAATATGGTCTCTTTAAAAGGTTAGTGTGTATGCATGCATGTCCTGAGAGAGACCACGGTGACTCCTCGGTTTCTTATCTCTCTCACTGAGAAGACTCTAATAATTCATGCACTGACCAGATAAGAGAAGGCCTGTATTGTTCTCTTACCTTCATTTCCATCCCTGCTGTTTTGCGTCTTTTTCCATTTTTCATTTTTTTCCAGGACGGGTGTTTTTGTTTTGTTTTGCTTTTGTTTCTCTGGTCTCTGGACACTAGCATCAGGCAGGAAAGAATGATAGAGCATAAAGTGGAGAGAGATGGAGTGAGTGAAAGATAAAGAGGCCATCTGAGGGACAAGAGAAGAAAGGGGTCCTTGAGAAACGTCAGACAGAAAGAAGGGAAGAAAATCATAGATGATTAAGTAAGAAGAGATTCAGGCCTTGAGGCAAAATCGGGATAGCTGTGCTGTCTGTGTGTGTTGGTGGTGGTGGGGTGGGTGGGTGTGATGGGGGTCTCTGGCCTTTGGCTCAGTGGACAGGCACTAGCTGACCCAGAATATATAAACACAGCTATTCTTACTCCCTAGACATTCCTATGTAGATATTGCCCTGCATACAACAAGGTCAAAGGCACACATTCATTACCCTGGGGTCAAAGTCACATAAGGGAAATTATAGCTTATGAGAAATAAAGAAAGCATAGAGGTAGTGCTGGACAGTAGTATCGACACAAATAACAAAGCTATTAGTTTAAGTCCATTTCCAAATACCACAGTAGTAGTTTTGCTACTTTAAAAAAAATAAGCAGCTTTTTAGTACTGAAGCTATTTTATCACATAGTGGGATAACATTAATATTCCCAAACTATATATATTTTGCATATTTTACACAATCAAATCAATTCACACAATCAAGTCAATCAAGTCAGGTCAAGCATCTTTTAGCTGGAATGGGGCAAGTTAATCACATATTAACATCTTAAGTTTGTCTTTTGTGTGTGTGTGTGTTCGAGGCCACCCTTGTCATGTGTGGGTGTGTACACCTCTGACTAGAAAACGTAAAAAAAAAAAATACGTACTATGCATATATCACCATTTTGTTTGAAACAGGAATCATAGTAGCAAGTTTACAAATGTATAGGTTTCCCTTTTATTTTTTGCATGGCGTTCTTGGGAATAGGAACAAAATGCCAGTAGGAAGAAAAAGTTTATATAGTGCACTGCATAGGTTAGGAAACTATGGTTCCTACACCCAAATAGGGTTCTAAATGTTAGATATAGAATCATGCAGCTAAAGGCTGAATGTAAATGGCTTTCTATATGACATGTAAAGCCCTGGTTGGATCTAGAAGCCATATTTCATGACCTACATAGTGCACTAAATAGGAAGTGGGGAGCCATTTGACTTTTAGCCTATGATTGGTCCAAGTTTGTTCGGGTCAATCATTTAGATTGCTGCATAATGTTTCATTTGCAGTTCAGAAAATGTCTTGATTTGTCACTCATGGCCCTGCTGTCATGTCATTTTGTAGCTGAATTGCACCAACAGCTCACCTACTTCTATAGGAAATGGCTGGTTGCCTGTCTCTTGCTAATGTGAACATATAGTAAAACTCTTAAAGTTAACGTGAAACGGAAATCATAAAGCATTTTCTTTCCATATGATAGTATTGGCCAACATGCAACCAGAACATCTGATTTCCAGTCAAATGGTCCTTTCTTCTCAAAGTAGGTGGGTCTTGCCCATGTTAATGTTATGCACCAGACTCTCTGAAGATATGCAGAAGTTTGGCTTGTGGGACTATCCATACTGTGATGCATGAAGTAGCTTTAATATAGCAGGTTATTATTGTTATATAGTTATTATTAGATTTCTCTGAATGGTATCTTTCATGTATCTGATTTTACATTTAGTTTTCCCTACAATGAAGTAAGACTCCAACAAATTGACTGAAAAATGCTTTATAGGTGTCCAGTGTAATACATACCAGCAATAGAACAGAATAGAAAAGCACTGCATGTCCATACAAGTAAACAACCACAACAGCTCCTCAAGGTTGCATCAATTCAGCTTTACACAGACATAAATGCCACACATATCGATGAGTCTGAGAATGTATGTGATGTATAAGCTGAGGAGATGGAATGGGGGCAGCGAGAGGGTATTTAGAGAGGATGGGTGTGTCTGTATGTCTGCACACACACATCAACGGCTGCAGAACCCTCCGGCATGAATGTGAAACCTCCAAGAACCACTGGCAGCAGTTCAAACGTTGCTCACCACTAAAGGACAACTGAGTTCTTATTCAAATCACTCCCATTTGCAGACTAGCTTTCAATAGCACACTGACACAACAGGCAACCCAATACATAGACTGGCCCTCTAAAGTCTTTACCTTCTTTTAAAGTTTTCCAAGTTATGTTGAATTTTCACATTTACTTTTCAGTTAAGTAAATAAATATACATGCAATGTATGCATGCAACATAAAACTATTTACTTATCTTATGTTTTATGACGTTTTGCCTGAATAATGATTTGTCTGTTTTCTTCTCCAGACTATTGTTAAAATACATACTTTGTTTATACCTAGCATTAGCGTGGTTCATATCCAGATCTTATCTGGCCAGATTCCATTTACACTTTTCACTAAACCGTATTCCTAGAGCGACCAGATAAGATCTGATTTCACTTTCCTGCACAAAAGGACACATACACTGTTTCTGTTTTACCTCAGTTTACTTTATCCCACTGCTACCATAAGAATAGATATGCTTGGATTAGATGCTTTCATCAAACCAGAGCAGAGAGAAGGCACTTGGTTTGGGAATAACTCCAGCCTGTGTATCCTCCATCTTGTGTTTCCTTGTTTAACCTCGCACCTGCTACTCAGCAGACACATTTAAACTTACCTAATTGTATGTGGCTACAGAAAACAAATTCTATTTACTCGTGTTGAATGTGGTCAGCGTCCGCCTCTGACCAACTCAGACCAACTGGTTTGAGTGATCCAACAGTAATTCGATCTTAGTGCATGCGGCGTGTGTTTAACCTTGGCTTTCTATGTAGTCCAGTGTAAACCAAAACTGTTCCAGTTACCGGTGTAAAAGTGTAAACAGCCTCTTTGAAACTGTTTGGGTCCAAAAGTGATTTAAAACGTGATAGTTTTAAGTGCTTGGAAAATGCATCAGGTATATTTATAAGATAAATATACATAAGATAGTATAAGCTAGTACATTTGTGTGGTCCGTCAGATTTGCAGTTTTCACAATTATTTGAACAGTGTTCTATTTAATATATTGCAAAGCAACAAAGGAAACATGCTCATTAAAACGTTTTGAAAATGTAAGTGTCCCCAAACTTTTGAAAGGCAGTATATATAACATTGAGACTTGTTTTTAGAGGCAACACAGCAAAGAAACAGATCACTAGCTGTCTGAATTTCAGCAACTTCTGAAGGCACTGCTATTTTGGATAGATACTATGCTGTTTCTTATACAGCAATATTAGCAAAAGTAACAAACTATGAAATTAAGAGTAGCCATAAAATGCAATTTGCGCCTGTTTTCCATGTCCTTCAACTTCAGCTTTCTTCAGTAAGTTTGGTGGAACATATTTCAGTGGAAATATGTATGATTTACAAAACCAGCAGAAACCAGGATTTTCATCTTCGTAGGTGAGCAAGCATGTTGGAACAGTTGAACACTCTTATGTGATATCAAGAAACTTGCAGTTACGCTGACTGTTTTGACTCGGCACAGTCATCTATGCGGACAGGTGTGAAATGTTTTCACAGCAGGGGGTCCTCACCCCTCCCCTTTTACCCCTCATTGCTTGCTAGCAGCTCAACACAGAGTCACAACATTCCAGAAAATATTTTATTTGATTACAGAAGTTTAAAATCTCCAAGTCGATTTATGTTCTGGTGGCAGAATGGCCACTAGAGGGCCTGCAGAAAGAACTTAACCTCTGACGTACCAAAGGCTTCCTACATCTATGCAACAGCTGAACAATTAGTAGGATATTCTGCAGTTACTGAGTAAATCTTCAAGCTTATCCAATCCAAAATCTATCTATGGCATTAGGTCTACTATATTGTGGCTGTACTCCTACACTTTACGATTGTAATATGCCTTGCTATATATTAAAAATGCCTTGATGTAACAAGTTTGGCCTGCATTGTTTTGCCCAAAATTATTTACCATTGTTGGATCATGTGAATCCTTAGATTCATCAAACCATCATCTGGACCATCGGAGGTTGTTCAGCACACAGTAAAATGCTATGTGATTTATTACAGGGTTCAATGTAGGTATTATGATTAACAAACAGCCATAATCAAGATGAAACTCACAAGCCTCAAATCTACACACTCTGCCTACTGAGTTGTGCATGCAACCATCAGTGCACAGTGCTGAGACTCTGAAATGCAGTAGGCTGGCTGTATTTGTTTGTCTGGCGTGTAATAATGCCACTAAGGAGAGCACTGTAGAAAATAATACTGACACCTTTGCCTGTAGCACTGTCCACACTCAACACCGACTATAAACAAAGAGACCACCCACGCAGAAGGAGAGAGAGCGAGATGGAGAGAGAGAGAGGGGCTTCAGCACAACAGTGAGCAGTGGGATGATAATACATTAATGGCATGTGGCAAAAGGCAGTGACATAACAGTTGTTATGAATCATACAACTGGCAACACAGGTTAATTTGCAACACCCACATCTTTATATGTATAATGGAATCTGTGCCTTGGAGAAACGTACAAAGCTCAGAAAAGCAGTAAGGAAAGCAGCACATAGGCTGAATTTCTCATCTCTACAGATCCACATCCCACAGAAGAAAAAAATAAATACTCCACCAGCCCCCGGAATTCCAAACATGTTTTAAAGAAAAGCTCCCGCTACAGCCACACCTCAGTAATCCTAATTGAGTGTGCAAAAACAGCATTTCCACACACAGACCTGCATACCAGGCACATTTGTTCCCAATTTAGCCAGTTAATGAACAAGAAAATAAACACGCTCATATCAGCTAGTCCAGGAAGACCACCAGAGACCACGTCTGCAGTCTTTTAGTGTAAATGCCTGTAGAGTGAGGTCACATTAAGAGATGGGGGCTCAGGAAGCAGGGGAGTGGTCAGGAGTGAGGCTAACATGCAGAAAAACGTGGAAGTATTTTTAAAGCTGAATCTTTGGTGACATTTCATTACAATTTTTTGTGAAAGTCAATTCAAATAATGGCATTTAACATGACAGCCAGTTGGCATATCTGACAGTTTATCAAGTTTTATTAAACAGATTTATGCAAAAATAGGAAAGTGCTTTACGAAGATATTTCTTCCTAAGAATGGCTGGTGAAAGAGGCTCTTTGTTCTGTTGTCTACTCTTAAAATAATACCAGAGAGAACCTTAAAAACTCTTCAGCAAAAAAATCATTTTACACCAATTTCCACGTAATTTGAAAATGCCAGGTGATTTTTACATTAAGTTATCTTTTCAGAGAAACAAGGTTTGACAGCGATGTTTTGCTTCTTTAGTTAGTGCTGTAGCTTCAAGGCTAATGTTGCTAACAAACACTTGAAGTCAGTAGTCACCTAAATCTTTTCTGTATAAATTTCTCTTAACCTGCTTCAGTGAAACATACAATGGAATCCAAAAGTCTGAGACCACTCATGAAAACGCTTCTATTTTGCATTATTTTCAAATTGAACCATTTAAAATTCCAGGCTTATTACATACTAAGGCATATTATTCAGTAACTACAGGGACTTCAGTGCAAACTGGTTGAGCTATTCTTAGGTTATAGAAGTGTCTAATAAAACGTTGGGCCTGCCGGTGGGCCCTGGCAATTTCAGGGGTTAATACAGTTTTTATTATACTTTTTATTATCAGCATAACATTTTTTATGAAAAGTAGAATATTTAGTACTTAGTATTTGATACATCCTTATTTTCTTTATTTTATATTGTTCAAAATTTTAAAATGTTCTGTTGTTTATTTCCAAGTTTAAATGAAAAAATCCCAGATTTTCAGTGTAGTCTCAGACTTCTGGACACCACTGTATACATAAATATACATGTTCAGTTAGAAAAGTCACAATTAACAGGTACTAACAAAAAGAAACAACAGAATGCATGAATGTAATGTGGGGCATCCATACACCTGCATGACGTGCAGCTGAATTTCAGTACATCACCTGCTGTCTAAAGTGGACGCCCACAGCATTTGGCTACACAGAGAAGTTTTGTTGTTTTTATAGCTCACAACAACCCATACTGTGTTCTAAACCACGTCAACAAGTCTTAATAAAGAACTGAATAAGGTTTGAGAGGTTTGAGTGAAGGTTGGGAGACATATTTACAGAAAAGATTTGGGTGACTATTGACTTCTAGTGTTCGTTAGCAACGTCAGCCTTGTCACTCCAGCACTCAACCACAGAAGCAAAGTTTGGACATCAAACTTGTCTTGGTTGATTGACTACACCTGGGTTTAGTGGAAAATTCTGTGAATTTCTTTAATTCATTCATTTCTACCAACAGGACAACAGGTTCACTGCTATTGTTATGGAATAGAATGTTTTCATGGATATAATATTCATCATCTGCCAATATCACTAAAACTAAAAATCAGTATACTTATGTGACACCAACGCTGGTACAGACATAGACCTGTAAAGCCAATATATAGCTCAGCACTAATAGGAAGATAGGAAGTCAAATATTTTAGCTAGACTTTCATTGTTCATTGAATTAAACAGTCACTGAATTAAAGTTTTATCACTAAATTTAAAGCCATTGAATTAGTCACTAAACTAAAGTTTTAATAGAATTTTTTCTCTCACAGCATTCCAAAAATAATTTACTCCAGTATTAGTGCACTGGTTTACATCTGAGTTGATAAGACGCTCTTCAGGAATTTATATATTGTTTCCTATGCTCTTAAAATACATCTCTGCTCAGCGGAATTAATGGAATGATAAAAACTATATGAAACCTCAGGAGGGCTTGACTTAATAGAACAGTGTTTGTTCATTCAAATTGCCTGTGGGGAAGAGAGAAAAACGTACAGCTTTGAATGATAATGGACTGTAAGACAGAGTTTTAAAGCAGTGCCTCATTCTGACTTTCCTCAAATCCCCAAAGATCTCTCTTTCTCTGGATTACCAAAACTAATAACTGCTAATCAGATTCATACCAACTCATTTGTGCACTGTTTCCCCAGCAAAACTGACTCTGGAATAAATTCAAGTAGAGCTTCTGAATACTAATGGTTCCAGAATTCTCTGTTCATAGCAATTGTTTTTATACAAAATTAGAATATATATATATATATATATATATATATATATACAAAATTTGAAATTACAGACTGATGGCATCAAGGATATGGATATGTTTTCATCAGCTGTTGGTAGCAGCTAATTACATTTCACTGTTGTCAGAACAAAAACTCATATCTCCAAAACGGTAACTTTACAGGAGAAGGAAAAAACATACTTTATTTTTGATGTCAATGGAACCAGACTTTTTTCTAATTATTTTCTAGTTTCTAATTATGTCAGAAACTGAAAAACGACAAAAATGGAGATACGACGTTTTGTTCTGCCAGCAGTGATTTACTCAGTTACATGTACAAATTTTTATTTTTTTTTCCTTTTACTTTGACTTTTAAATATTTATTTATTTTACTTCTGCTCAAGAATGTTTGTGAAGAAACTTTTACTTTATTTTACTGCATTTTTGTCACTCACTTCAGTCACGCTAATTCTCTTTTTGTGTTTGACAGTGAGTGAAAGTAGAGAGATTCTTGATCAAATATTACTCTAGTATAATTCTAAGAACTCTATTTATATAAGTATAAAAGTAAAAAGTAGAATATTTTACTGTAAAATGTAGTGAAGTGAAAGTAAATGTATTAAAAAAATGGAAATACTTCATAAAAGATTTCATTCTGTTCTGTTGGTGACAACACCTGCTTTCCTGCGCTCACACCTCTCACTTTCACTGCTTTAGCATTTAGACCAAAAGCATCTCAATAAGAGGACAGAGCTAGACATTTCCAGTACTGACAGATGATGACGTTCCTTTGAAGTCCTACAGGGATCTCAGCATTTGAGTAGTTTTTTGATCTGCTACTTTTTTATTATTATTATTATTATTCTTTCTACTTTTTTTAGTAGCTGTGTTCACATCTACTTGAGTCAATATCTCATTAAAGTAACAATACTTGTCTATAGTATTAGGTTACTTTCTATGTAAAACATGAGAGACTCAAAGCTAGATGGTAATATTAGTGTACTGAACCTGTAAATGCTGTACTTAATAGCTCTTTGCAGTAGGAGACCTTTTAAAAAGAGGTCTCGGGCACTCCAGATGCTGTAGCCACCTGTGTCTGGGAACTAGGACACACTGCTTTCAATTTGGTGACCGTTCACCTTTTAACTCTTTAAGCTTCTTTATTCAGTACATGTTTATTGTTGCTTGTTATTCTGTAACTACATTGAACACAGTGAAAAACGAGCTATTATTAAGTTATGAGAATAAGGAAAGGAAACCAGGTTCCGTAAGCATGCTCTCAGAAACAGGTACTAAACTGTCACTGGGCTGGTACCCCTCACATCAAGGGTAGGTCTTCAGTGCTTTTAGTTAGGAAATATGTATGTAACGTAATCCATTACAATTCTATTTTTATAAGTTGACTACAGGCTTTATATTTTACATGTTTTATTTTTCTGTTTTAAAACATTAGGTTATAAAAAAGGAACAAATGTTTACCTTTCCTCTGGAAGGATTTATTCAAGATACACAGCTATACCTTAATATCACTGTTGTGCCATTATACAGTATATTATGCTTTACTGAACAGAAATATTAAGAATTGTAAACTAGATGATAGCAATTTGTTTTACTGTACTACAGCCTAAGACATAAAGTACATTTAATAATATTCTAATTTTATATAATAGTCTATATAATATTCTAAATTTAATAAATTTCTAATTAGCAGTGCTCTTTGAACTTATTTCGGCTGAATTAACAAATATGTCAATAAAGTGCTGCATCTTATATCTTGTTGTTTTGTTTTTGTGGCTAATGAGTTACGTTAGATATGAAGTGTATTTTAAATAACTTCTAATAACTTGTAATACTACTGGTGAACTATTAGACTTTCTCATAACATGTTTAAAAACATTTCCAAAGTGGAATCACTTACAGTATGTACTCAATCTTTTGACACCAGGAGTGACTTGCGACACTACACTTGAGCCCCATACCGTGAGGTCAGAATCTGCTCCCAGCCTTCAGGCTGCACCTGTTCGTGGAGATAATCTTCATCCTACACAAGGTAACATAAGTTACTTATTCAGTATAGCATTATAGTATGAGTGATTTATCACTAACTGCTCAGGCTAGGAGACCATCAGTTAGACAACGTGTTTAACTGCAAGCACTATGGTATTTTGTGTGTGTTTTGGTGTTTTTCTATGTGGCAGTATGGTACAGTACAGTACGGTTACAAAACCGAACCAAGAACTATCCATGCCCTGGTTGAGTGTCTGTGTCCGTTTACTCACAACAGAACTGTGAAAGTATGAGTTCTCTTCAGCCTGTGTGGTCAAATGATTTCTCACAAGAATCTAACATTTAATATTAACATTAAACACAAACAGCAGCAACAAAGGAGAACATTCAAGTTCTGATTTAGCCTTTATTCTGCGTTTGGTTTTATGCGTTTGGCTAATCGGTGGTTTGCACCATTATAATAGCTCCACCCATATGTTCTCGCTCACTTTGTATCTGCAGACTCCAGCTTTAGCCTCTTTAGTCTTTCATTTTTTTGTTTTGTTTTGATCATTACTTTATGGCTTCAAAATAAACATTTATCCACTACTGTACAGAAAATTATGTGATAAAGCTGCGATTCAAAGACTGCCTTGTACTATCTGACTATATAATACTATATAAAAATAATAATAATAATAACAACACCACCAACAATATGTATTATTATTATTATACTAATAATAATAATAATAATACTGCTACTACAATAACTACAATAATTGAAATTATTTACAGTAATTATTATTATAAATAAATTATGATAAATATTATTAAATACGTTTTGTTCTCGATATCCACCGCATAACAGAAAGTGACACGATTGACCTCAGCTGGTCCCCGCTGAAAACAGCGGGATGACTGCGTCCAGTTTATGTACACTTTCAGTGGGTACCCCTACAACAAGGGCAACCAAATTCAGCACAGGTACTTATATAGAGTACAGCTGACTTGACACTGCGAAAATGGCCTTAAAAGGTCACATTGTTGCAGACTGCTTGACTTTATTGATATAGCTCAGGGCAATATCAAAATACGTATGTTTACAGCGCTTCATTAATTTCAAATCATATTTATTTTGTATGCATGTGAAAGAGCATGATCTTTCACATGCATACAAAATAAATATGATTTGGAATTAATGAAGCGTTGTAAACATACGTATTTTGATATTTTGCATTTTGAGTTGTGCGCTACATTTCAACATTAGGTTAAACAAGATTCTATGAAGTTGTGCATTCTAGCAACAGTGTCTGCGAAAGAATGTGTTTTTGGGCAGAGCATGGATAGGTTAGTTCTTAGCTGAAGTATGATAAACCACAAATATGGACTCAGCAGAGACTGCAACTACTGGAAAAAAAAATCCAACCCACCCCTTTTTGCTTTCAGCAACAAATAGATCTGGTGACCAGTTTCCAGTTTACCCCACTATGCAAGACCAGACCAAAGCACAAAGCACAACAAGCCCTGAGGTTAAACAGGATGGGACCACCCAGAGCCACATATCTACTACAGTGGCAGAGCCTGAAGCACAGCTGGACACAAAAGCTCCTCAGCACATCACCACCAACCAGCCTGATGCCAAAGCTAGCATTAAACATATGGTGAGAAGCAAGTCATGGATTTACCAATGATCTTGACTTAATGAGTTGTGTAGATCACCATGTAGGGTAAGAACTACTAGTGCATTTTACTGACATACAAATGAAATAATTATCTAAGAGTTTTTCTTTATAATTGCATATTCCATTTTGCCTTGAACAATAATTCTCCTACTATATTCTTTATTTTGACCTTCATAACGCTAATAACAGCTGTTTTTATAGGATTGAAAAATGTAAAAGAGGGCAGGTTTCTAACCTTAGGCTTGCACCACACTTGATGCTGAAAGCTACAATAAAGTTTGATCATCCACAGGATCAAGTGGTGTGTGTGAAAGAGGCTGCAGTGAGAGGAAAAGAGGCTGTGAGACTGAAGCTGAAGGCCTCCTCCAGCTGTGTGAGTAACACTCAGATCCAGAAACCAACCCTGAGGAGATACTCACCAACTATCTCACAGTAGGAGGAAAACACACTGGATTGAATCCGAATGTTTTGCTAAACGGAATTTAAAGGCAAAGTCATAATGTTGCTAATAATGCATGAAAGATATGATGGGCCAGTTAGGGATTGCAAATGAGAACTTTGCTAAGGTGGTCCTCACTAGCATACATTGACTCTTAGTCATCTATGATTTGGGGTGAAGTACTCCTTTAAACTCACTTGCACTAAGGGGGAAAAACACACACACATCTCAAAATTCCAGAACTGTCTTTCAGGAAGCAACCCCAAGTACACTCTGTCCACCTCCTCCAGAAATGTGGCCTTCGGAAAATACAGATCACTAAAACAGAGATCAGAGATAACTTATGAAAACATACAAAGAAAGAAAGAAGAAAAAGTCTATATAAGGCTGTTGACAGGCATTTTAAATTTAGCATTATCCTTATCTCTCTCTACATGGTTGTATGCAAACATTGGGCAAAATGACATATTTTGTTGGTTTTTGGGAAATAAAAAAGATTTCCTGCAATTATCAATGCACAGTTACTTTATATTTAATTAAATAAAAGAATAGAAAAGAATTAAAGGGTAATTTGTCGCATGTGCAAAAGTTTGGCCACTAATCCAGTCTAGGACTGATTTGACAGGTCGAGAACTGTCATTAGGAACTGCCAGCTGACGACAATTCCACAGCATAATAAATCAGACTCTTCAGAACTTGTTCTAACACTCAACAACTATGGGCTCTAATCAGCTGGGTGAGGTCTGAAAATAAAGCTAAATGTCTGAAATGTCATTAAGAAATGGCAATTTAGGAGAACTGTGAAAGTCAAGGTCTGGAAGACTGAGAAAACTCCCAGACAGAACTGCTATTATGCAGGCCAGAAAGGCAAAGCAAAACTTCCATATCAAGTCAGGTCAAGTCAGAATTTATTAATATAGCACTTTTTACAAAAGGTGTTGTCACAATGCAGCTTTACAGAAAATCCGGGCTCATGCCCCAGTGAGCGTCACCAATGAAAAACTCCCTAAGAGCATGAGGAAGAAACCATGAGAGGAATCAAGACTGAAATGGGGAACCCATCCTCCTCTGGTCGATAGCAAAACAATGACACAGCTAGAGCAGCAGGAATAGAGGATAAGCTTTTATGATTAATATACAATATTAAAAATAGAATAAAAAAGAAAAACATAAAATTACCTGTCATTGGACAGAAGTATTTAGATCAGGGGTGGTGAACTGTGGTCCTGGAGGGCCCAACACAGTTTGGTGATTTTCTTGCTCTAAATTGCGACTAAGCCTGGCATTTAGTTGCTGAGTTGAATCAGGTGTGTTTGAGTAGGACAGTCACCTAACTGTGCAGGACTCTGGCCCTCCAGGCCTGGAGTTCACCATCCCTGATTAACCAACGACAACTGATGACTACTGTTAAAGGCCTATTTAAGTAACAATGAGAATTACATCTAAGAAAATGAGTCACTGGTACCAGAGAAACCAGTGACTACCGTTAGGAGCACATCACAGTGAGAATAAGGGTTAATGTGTAAGAGCTCAGTGGATTGTGAGGCAGGTGAAAGAATGTCTATGATTAAATAGTTCTAGCTTGAGTCTGTGCAGGCACCAGTATCATCAGGAGGGTGAGTGGGGCGTGCAGGTGAGGCTTTCTGTACAGCATTGGACAGCAGGAAGCTCCATGGGGGTCAAACTGTTCCAAAGGGCAGGCAAGCATGGCCACTCGATCAGGGCATTTAAGCAAGAGCATCAGACCACACAGGATGGGCAGCTGTTTAGCTCTGACACTTAGTTCTGTTTAGGTTGTTTGTCAGGCGTTGGCATAGGCCCCTTAGTTGCAGTGAAGGAAAATCTCAATGCTTCGGCAAATCAAGACATTTTGGACAACTGTATCCTTTCAACTTTGTGGGAACAGTTCGGGGGAGGCCCTTTTCTGTTCCAGCATGACTGAGCCCCAGTGCACAAAGGCATGGTTGGGTGAGTTTGGTATGGAAGAACTTGACTGGCCCACACAGAGCCCTGGCCTCAACCCCATCGAACACCTTTGGGATAAACTAGAACAGAAACTGCAAGTCAGGCCCTCTCGTCCAACATGAGTGTCTGACCTCACAAATGCTCTTCTGGATGAACAGGCAAAAACTCCCACAGACACCCCCCAAAATCTTGTAGAAAGCTTCCCAGAAGAGTGGAAGCTGTTATAGCTGCAAAGGGGAGGGACTGCATATTAAGGCCTAAGGATTTTGAATGGGATGTCATAGAAGCACCTATAAGTGTAATGTGCAGGTGTCCCAATACTTTTGTCCATATAGTGTAAGTTCACTCAGGTACTGAGGGGTGAGGCCATTTAGAGCTTTTTATGTCAGTAGCAGAATTTTGTACTCAATGTGGAATTTAACTGGCAATCAATGTAGTGTTGATCAAACTGGGCTGATATGGTCAAAATGTCTAGTTTTGCTAAGGACTCTAACTGCAGCATCCTGTTTAAAGACTACAAAACACCCTTCTGATGATGTATTTGGAAGGTGGAAGGGAATTTGGAAAGACTACAAGTGCTTTAGGGTGGATATTTCAGGCAGGCTGTTTTTTTATTGTTTGTTTTTTTCTGTTAGCTAATTCCAATGCTAATGCTAGCTGGCACTAGATATCTACAGTTGTATGCAAAGGTTTGAACGAATCTGGTCAAATTACATGTTTTGTTGATTTTCTAAGAGATAATAAGTTAACAAATGCTGTACAGATAACAAACCTAAATATGGCATTTTTCTGCCAATTTTACTCCAGAATTTCTATTTATTTTCTGAGTTGAATATATTGGGGAAAAAATTAAGAATAAAATATTAAATGTGCCATAAAGTTTGCATAGGCCCCCCCTTTTAATTTATTTACCCCCCCCACACACACTTTTATTTATTTATACCTACAATACCCAGTGCTTGCTGTATACTGTAGGTAGAGAACACTGATGGATGAAAACAGGAAAATATAAAATTGTTAATTCTGTCAACTGATGAGGCTGAGAGATGCAGTGCTGCACTACAGAATATTAAATATTGTAACAAATAGCGTATTAAATGCTAGTTTTAGGTCAGACTGCCCTTTTAATTATAGTAATAAGGACAGTTAATTAAGTATTTTCCATCCATATATGAGTAGTGATACTGGGAAAAAATAATAAAAGTGGGACAAAGAAGTAGCAACACTGTCCTGGCAAATGACATCCAAAGCAGGAATTTTGCCAAGTTCTACAAATAGGCCACTCCACAAAGACAGTTGTGTACTTGTGCGTGTTTGTGAGTGTATTTTGTTTTGAAAAAGGCTGAGGGGGAAGGAAGCACCACATGCCACTGAACAGTGACGCTGGCACTGGGACAGCACCTTAGCTAAGCTAATACTGCACTGATTAGATTGTGAACTTTAAGACTGTGCTGTTGAAGCTAGAACAGTGCTGTTGAAGCTAGAACACCCAAATTCTGACCCAAACAAAAAAAATTCTAGTAGCTCGCTTCGTACAAGAGACTTTCAGTGATGACTTCATTTTTCAGAGTTATGCCTATGCAGTACAGCCCTATTTTTGCTACTGTACCTCTCATTCATGAAGACTGGAATACACTGAAAAGTGGCCTTGCCTCATTTCCACATCAAGGAAAGCACTTACGTTTCAGTTGACATGCAGTTGCGTATATAAAGTCAACACTTACTTATCATATTTGAAATCGTATTAGCACTCTTCAGTGTTTGACATGAAACATAAAAAGCTTCACACTGTGGGTGCGTTTTCTGTTTCTGACCGCTGTGAAGGAGACACCTGTTATCAGGAGTCCAGAAATTTGGGGGTTAAGGTGGGTCATTCCGTGTGAGAGGCAGCCCAAATGTACAGGCTTCACATTACACTGCATTCCTACAGAGAGAGGGAGAAAGAATGAGAGCCCTTCAGGGTATCACAGTAATGTCAGGCTTTAAATGGCCTAAACAGCTTGAATAACTGTGTGTCTGTGTGTGTGTGTGTGTGTGTGCCTGTGTGGGTATGATCATGTTTCATATCATCAATGTCATTTCAAAACCTATTCCATTCTTTTTACACCAGCTGTCCTTAACGTGTGTTCATTTCATGGCAAATGCACCAACAGAAGTGGTCCAAATTTACTCGGAATAAAATGTTGTTATATTAGCTAGATTGGAAATGAAAGGAAAATTTCACAGATTTTTCAAAATTTCATAAATCAACCACTGAGATGTAAACAATGTCATTCAGAGACATGAAATACTGTATTAAGAAACTTGTCAACTCCAATCTCTTTACAGTGGTGGTTATAGGAACCAGTGGTGTAAAATAAGGATTAAAAGGATTTTTTTCTTCGAGTACTATTTTGTCTTACAATGCTCGACATAAACCTCTCCACTGGATTTCAAAAATACAGTTTTAGGCCAAAATCTTCTCTCAAAACAATCATAAAACAAAGTCTCAGACACAGTGCAACATATCTGTACCATTTCATGTAACTACTTTATGATGTAGGTTTTAGGGACATTAAACATTTTGGATGTCTGGTTCCTATCACCACTAGTGTGAACAATTCTGACTCTGTATGTCTCTAGAATGGAATATTTCACATCAATCCACTCTGAATGATTTTGTGGAAGAACATTTTTTTATCTCCTATAAAGTTACTATTTTGGAGATACAAGGTTTTGTTATGATGTTGAAGATAATGCTTTTCTACTCAAATGTACTCAGATATGAACAGAACACTTTCTCTGCTGGTCGTCTAACAGGAGGAGAACAAAGCAAAGATTCAGAGTGTTCTAGAACATCTCTGTGGTGACGACAGCAAGCTTGAGATCTACCAGCAAGACCATACTGATGAGATGATCATATCAGGACAGTGCATTAAAGGTCTGAGACCTCACTATGCATTTATCTACACAACAAAGATGGACATAATGTAACTCTTTAGCGCACCAGAATCTTTGTTTTACATATTTCTCCTTATATATCACATGCTTTTTAAATTATATTGTTTGATGTTAGATTTGAAACAAACAGTGGAGCATAAGTACCTATATGTAGACGACATTCAATGCTGTGTTTAGAAGAACTGAATCCTTTTTTCTTTCTCATTAAACAGATGATGCCAAAGGGATGACTGAAAAGTTCAACAATGATAATATCAAAGATAAGGTAAAGTAACCACACAACCTACTGTCATTTACAGAATGCCAAGAGGAATGTGAAACATAACAGGCAAATCTGAGCACCAGTTTGATATCACAGAACACCACATAACATTACGATACATATGTAAGACTGACTACCTAGTACAGTATCACACAGTATTCTGCAATTCAGTATTATACCAGGGCCAATTAGTATTGTTTGTCCCAAGACCCACCAAATATTTTGTGAAGTGAAAAAAGATCCTTAAAGGGGAATTCTACCAATTTTTAAGGAGATCAAAGTCATTCAGAGTGTTAGCTTTGACCTAATAAGAATTTTTTAAATCTATCCATTGTGGAGAGGTACATGCAGGGCATTGTAAGGCCCAAAAGATTTCCCACTATTTTACTGTTATCAACATTACATATAAAACTTGTGCAGGTCCACTAGTTATTTGGATAGTACAGGAAATGGCTATACTTGCATCAGACAACACTACGACCCCTGGTTCCTATCACCACTATTGCAAAGGAATCTGAACCAGCATGTTTCATCATTTATAGTACATCATTTGACATCAAGCCACTCTGAATTACTTTACATCTCATTGATCGAATTATGCAGAAAAAAATCAGCAGAGCTCCCACTTTAAGTTTTCAGTCCATTTTACTCTCTCTTACTGTTCTCTACTGTTCTATAGCATTATTGGGGAAAGTCTTTTGAAAAGAACATTGAAAAAAAAAATTCCAAATTACAATTAGCAATTAGCACCACAATTATGGTTATTTGAAGACAGTTCCATTAAGGGCCTATTCAGGTGCTTTACATTCAATGTTTGTATACTTTTATAAACCTATATACTCATAAATACATAATTACATACTTATACACCAACTTCTTTTTCTAGTCTTTGCTTTTCTTATGGTAAGCATATTTTGGTAATACCATCCAGATCCATAATCATTTTAAAGAAAAAAGGGAGAAAATAAATAAATGAAAAAAAAAAAATAGAAAATAAATAAATAAATATACATACTTATACATATACACATACATATACACACACACATACATACATATATATATATATATATATACATATATATATATACATATATATATATGTATATATACACACACACACACATAACACATACATACATACTTACACATACACATACACACAGATATACACATACACCCACATACATACCTACACACATATACAAAATAATGATAAAAATAGTAAAATCAAATAAACTTAAAAAAAAAAAAACATGGAAAAACATGGAAATTTCTGACTTTCCCTTCAAATTAGCTCCTTAAAAAACTTTTTACATTACAAAAGGGGAAGCATGTTCTTTAATTAAAAAGGAGAGGAAATAAAAGTAGGTCCTTAAAAAATAAATAAATAAAAAACCTACATAAGTTCTGGTCTCCGGGGTCTTATATATATTTGCCATTTAGACCAAATCTGATAGTGTTCTATAGCATTTCATGATAAAAGGATGAAATGTAGGCCTACACTGTTACACATTTAGTTAGATAGAAAATAAACACTTATTTGCTTTATATTTAATCCATTCAGCTCTTACCTTATAAACACCTTAATAACTTGTATTGATATTGTGTTGGATATTATGTCTTATTTAAATTTACTCTGGTCCATGTTGTTAGTTAGCTTAGTGGGCTACCTAGCACACTGCTCACTGTTGCTTTCTTTCATTGTGGTCCTATGGTCCATACAACAGTTAGCTATGACAACACAATCTTACTGGTAACTTCACATTGAAATAATTGAACTGTGTCATTTAGCCGAGCACTGGTTTTTGAGTAATGTCTCGTTTGTACTTTAACACATACAAAATAAGAAAATGGATACATTAGATAATTTCTGTATGACTAAATTTGACCTGCAGTCCATTTGGTTAGATCCTGAAGAAGAGCATGACAGCAGGCCTACATTAAATTCTGAACAGTTTTGCCTCCAAACAAGCTTTTTGGCTGGCGGTCGTGACAGTGGAACAACTAAATAAATGGCAGATGGAATTGACAATATGTAAACACATTTGATAAAAGGTTTTCTGCTTTATTTTTTTCTTTATTTTGCTAAACTGTTGCATAAAAGCGGTAGAACACTCATGGTCATGTATCATCACAAATAACATCAACATTCAGACTGTTTTTATCAACAACTGTCTGTCTTACCGCTTGGTTAAACTCATAATCCGTTACACTGTGTTTTTCAAACTATGGGTCATGACCCACTGGTGGGTCACAGGGTGGGGATGAGTAGGTTGTGACCCATAGTTTGAAAATCCCTGTTCTAAAGTATTCAACAATTCATACAGTCATACAGTAATGGGTAGGAAATGGACATATGAAACATGGGTAGACTTAGAAAGCTGTAGTGAGTCCAAAGTTTATCAGCAGATTTTATAATGCTGAAAACATCTGAATAACAGACATGTCTGATCCCTAACTACCATCAAATACTTTAATATATGACTTCAATTAAGCAATGACTAAGTAAGTGTGTAACTGGATTATGAGCTTAAGCAAGCTAAGGGTGAGACAGACAGTTATTGTTGATAAAAACAGTCTGAATAGCGCTGGTGATAGTCTTGCACAACACAACCATCCACAGCAAAATGCACAGGCAGTATATTCCTCTCCAATCCTATTCACACTCAGCACAGAATACACTGTATAAAAGTTGAGTGAAAATTCTTATATGCAACGTCCCTGACAACACTACGATGTTAAAATAACATTAATAATAATAATAATTCCATATCAAATGGCAAACATACTACATAAGAATAACAACATACAAAATGTAATCTACTGCAAAGATACAGCCAGAGATAGAGGGCCTGTCACTCTACAGCACTCTCTCCGTTAGGAAAGAAACCTGGAGTTTAATTCTTCAGTCCTGTTCTCATCCCTCTTTTTATGTGTGTGTAGGTTGGAGTTGTGGAGGCTGTGCCCGTCTTGGTGAAGCACTCTCGGATTGTCCTGGTCACTGTCCTGCTTGCCGGTCTGCTACTGGCCGCTCTGCTCATTGTTGCATACATCCTGAAAACCCACCGCACTCAGGCTAAAGGAGTGCGCCTGGTAGGGTCTAATAGCAACACTCACATCATCACTGTTGCAACAAAACATTGAGTCTCCATTTTGGTAAATTTTTAAACATACTTTGAAAAAAACTGCAATTTAGATTGCATGAAAATTTCATAATGAATGGGCCAGTAGAAATGGTCCAAAATTACATTGACTTTCATTATAAGTTAACAACATTGTTTTGTTCTCCTGTAAACTTTTCATTTTGGAGATACAAGGTTTTGTTCTGACAGTGATGAAGCACGTTTTTTAATGTATCAACCCCTTTTTTACATTTGAAAATAGCCTGAGAATTTTATTTTGGCCTGAGAATTTTATTTTGAATATTTAATATTCGCAATTTAACACCCCCAGTTTACTGTAAACTGTGGTGTAAAGTTGCCTATTGGCTAAGCAGTAGCTGATTTTAGTTTCACACATAGTGCATTTAACTTCACCCCTTATTCAGTTATTAACCTTAAAACTTTCTATTCAGTATTATAATTATTCTATAACTAAGTATGTAAGTTGTGAATGGGCTCTTGCAGTTTGAGGGGTTAAAGGGCAATTCCACCCATTTTTCACAGTTACTGCATGATTCATAAGTTGAGATTGAAGTCACTTAGAGTGCTTTGAAGTGAAATAGACAAACTTACCAACTCAGATTTTTCACAGTGGTGGTGACAGAAACCAAGGTTCATAATGTCTGCAAGAAAAATCTAGCCATGTTATTTACTGTCCAAAGTGACATATGAGCCAACACATGTTCTCAGTTTTCCTATGTAACGTTGATAGTAGTAAAATACTGGAGAATCTGAAAAAATACATTTTGTTTGTGGACTGAAAGCCAGAGTTTGATCACTGGGTTAAGGCATGGTATAGTTAATAAGCCTTGATACATTTCACTTAGAGCTACTAAGTTTTTCAGGCATCCTTCAAGAGGGATGGGTGTGTGTGTGTTTGGTTGAAAGCGACACACTAAGACACACTGTTGCTTCCTGTCTTTGTTGTTGATAACAATGTTGATATACTTCAACAAATGTCAGAGGCAATCTCTGTACAATCTCTCTTTCCTGTTTGGACCGGTCGTTTCTCTTATTTGTAACAAAAACAAATTGATAAAATTTAAGCAGCCATTTCCTTTCTGGAAATTTCAATTGCTCATTTAAAAACATGATGGGCAAAGCTGACATTCTGAAAAATGAGACTATTCAATATTTATAGCCAGTTATAATAATCTTACATGCAAAAACATTCTGCTTACTCCGAAACTGATTTCATGTGGTTTTGTTTATTGTATGAAAGATTACAGTTGATTTTGAACCTGATCTCCACCCCAGCCCCGCCTGGTTGGGGGTTTTAATCAGGCTAACTGACAACAGGCATGAGGGCCGATTCTATCTTCGGTGCAGCTGTGTAACTGTCACTGGCAGGAGTGAAGGCACGCCTATTCCACTTCCCCTGCGATGTGGCATTTTTACGGGCCTCTTGGTTAAAACAGTAATCTAACAAACAGAGAGCGTAAGGCTGAGTCACTAACCACAGAACCCACACAAACCCTCTGACTTATATGAAATATACACAAATCTGCCTGGTTCATGAGGCAGGGCTCACAACACCTACTCTGACTGAGACGGTGATTCACTCGTTTAGCTCACAGCCTCTGTGCAGCGGTGAGAACATCAAATGAAATCACAACATCTTTCGACTTACTCAGAGTGCAATGCTATCTTAACTTCTATTCAGTGCTCACTCTTGAGGGATTACTGGTCTCCTTAAGTCAAACCTCATTAAACCACAGATATAAACTGAACAGTTACAGTTTTAAGAATGATTGGCTGAGCCATGCCCTCAAGCAGTTGCAAAATGCTCAGTATACACACACACACCTCACATTAATTGGTTACTAGTTATGTGCCAAGTTAAGTAAAACCAAAAAATCATTATGTAGATATGCAAAGAATGATATAAAATAATAATAGCAAATTATTTATTTAACATTTGTGTTCTACATCATTGTTTTATATCATTTTTTTTTATAAAAGCAATATGGCTACTTTCTTTAAGCATTGCCAAGTCAGAATTTTTCACAGCCAGACCTCTATGTTTAATCTTTAATGTCTCTAAATACTACCTCACAGGACGATTTTACAGAAATGATTATGAATATGCTGCCAGATGCCTGTTTTTACCAGTTTTTTTACAATAAGGCTTTGGCCTATTATATATTTTTTAAACAGCAGGTAGTACAGGGCATGGCAAGGCAAAATTGCACCCAAAATGTTTTTGTATTTATCATTATTTTACCATTATCAACAGTGAATATAAAAATCAGAAGACATGTAGGTTCACTGGTTCACTGGTCATTTTGGATAGCAAATTAAATGACTATATCTGCATTGTAGTCTCCCCTGGTTCCCATCATCACCACTGTAATCTCTCTACAAGAGTTTCTCTACAATATCAAAACACTCTAAATGACTTTGTTCACAGTTCAATTAAATTATGCCATCATTTAAAAAAATCAATAGAATTTTCATTTTATCAATGGTAGAATTACTGTAAGCAGGGCCCTCCATAGCTTACTGCCTTATGAAAAAACACATTTTTATCAGCTTTGAATGTTAATTACAGTTTCATTTCATTGTCATCAAATATCAGTGACTCTTCACTATTGAAGTAGTGTCTCATTTCTAATCAGTGTTTCTCCTGTCCATCCAGGCTGAAGAGTCATTCCAGGTAGATGAACAGAACCAGGGGAACACTCTACTATCTGTAGCCCCACTCCCACCTCAAGAACCCCTAGACAAGCCCACCAGTAATGGCGAGTCTCCAGAGTCACCACCCACCAACGGCCACTCCCCTACCCAAACACCAGTGGCTGATACTCCGATGTAAAACCTGGGTCCACCAGCCTAGAATCTGATACTGAATGTGAAGAATCGTGGTTATCAGTCACCTCAACTTCCAAAATAACCAGACATAAAGGACGATTGTGATGAAGATATGAATAATGAAGATCCCAATGATCATGATGGCAATACGGAAAGTGTAAACTAAACAGTGGATGTGAAGTTAACAATACTGTGAAGACATGACTGATTGCTTGAGCCAAAGAAGAAAGGCTCAGCTTAAAAAGCTGTCAATGTTAGCACAGCTAAAATGTTTTAAAACTCAGATCTACTGGGAAAATGTCCAGTAAGTTTTCCTGAACTTCATAATATTACCACTTTTGAAAAAAAGATGTTTCTCATTGCTGCATTTGTACCATGATTAGCCCTCCTGAATTGAATGCTGATGCTATTACTCTGTCAATGCTCGTATCATGGAGGAAATGCTAGCAGATGGGTCGATGCAGGACGGTCAGCCAGGCTGTCACATTTATTGATAAAGACAGCAGCCTTAGAGGTGTTCTTTCAAGCAGGTCAAACTAATCAAATTGTATTATGGACTGTATGAGTTATAAAAAACATATTTTGAAAAGCATGTTGAAAGTATTAGTTGTAGACTTTAAGATTTAAGGAAAGTTTGAACATAGAATGGAATTATGGAAAGAACAACCAACACTTTCACTAATAGTCCTCTTCTTTTAGCTCCACTGGCATCATACTGTAATGAAGAAATGGAACAATAGCATTTTTGGAAAACGTCCAGGCACTTAAGTTTGCAGTTCTTCACTATAAGCTTTTGCCAACTGGAATATGTGAGATATAATGGAGAAAGGGATCAGCCAATTCACTGTTACTTTTGATGCTAACAACCCACTGCTTTTATTTACATATGCTGGATCTTTCTCCTATCTGTTAGCATTAGAGGGATATTTATAGTTGTAGAAGCTTCAGCTTACATAAGTTCAATTTCAGACTGTATTTTTATAGTGTTTTACTTGCTTTTAGAGTGCTCTGCTTCCAGACTAAAAGAGTGCTTTGTATTAAACCAAACAGGGCTATTGTGAAAGGCAGACAGCAAACAATTAAGTTAGTAATTATCGTCTTTTTTACATAATCTATTTTTGTATTTGACCTCTTTATATTGCTTATGTGTAATTGTTTTGGATGTCGCATTGTTCATAATCTAAACCTCAGTCATGTGTTAAGTAATAGGAGGTTTTACAATAGGATTCTTGTGATATTGTATGTATGCGTGTGCATTCTTTTATCATTAGTATATCAGCTCTGTATAAAGCAGGTCTGTAGAACCCCATTCACAAGACTTTTATTATTTCAGCCTGTAATATGGGATCAGGATTCTGGGTAAGAGCTATCAGTCTAAGATGAGATGTGAAGCAGTCAGAAGGGTAGCAGTTCACACTGAGAAAGATCAGTGAATAAGTCAACTGTCAGTTCGCTTCAAGAGGCAATTGCTGATGGAGCTCTGAACAATTAATTTGGTGTGTCATAGCAATTGAGCTATCCTTGTTTTGTAGCTACTGTTGCAAACAACAACCCTGGCCAAAATCCTATTCAATTTACACATTGTGGTTGCACACAACGTGTAAATCTAGGGTATGTAATTCATTTAAATGCTATTTCTTATTATTTTAATAGTATTGATGTACTGTTTTTCTTGAAACTGAGAAAAAAAAGCATGGTGGCCTATTCATTGTTGTTGTTTCCAACCTGCTTAGTTTTGTTTAGCTACATCCTTGAAAAATGTTTCTTTGTTTTCTTTTTTTGTAAAGACAACATATATGCACTGTTAAAGGTACCACAAAAGGATCTTTACATGATGCCATGGAAGAACCCTTTTTGGTTCCCTAAACATCCATTTTTGTAAATGAGATATGTGAGAATGAAGAACCTTAGTAAACGTTAAAGAACTTCAAAAACCTTCATACTCACACATCTCATTTACAAAAGAGATTCTTTAGGAAACCAAAGTGGTTCTTCCATGGCGTCACTCAAAGAACCCTTTGTAGCACCTTTTATGGAGTGTGTATAGAACTGTGAACACTCAAACAGCAAATCTGAATGCATAAAAGGTTTAAAAGGTTCTTCTCTGTTGTATGTAGTTCCTTAAAAATGGTTCTATAATGCATCTAACAGATATAGAACCTTTTCTGGTACTACATAGATCCTTTTTTGCTAAGAGTATACACTGTGAAAAATGTTTAGTCAGTTCAGCCTAACAAAAAAGTTTCATGTTGTAACAAGCAGTTTAACTAGTTTTCAGTCAAATAAAATTAAATCACTACTTTGAAAAGAAGCAAAGAAAGATGAACAAAAGCAACATTTTTTCGCTGATCAAAACCACACAAACACTTTAAACAGGTGTGGCGCCACACCTTCAACAGTGAAAACTTATTGTTTCCAGAAAAAAAACACAACTGGCTGAATGACAAAATGCAATTATGCCACTGAATAAAACTACCTTTAATGTCATACTAAAAACACGTCTCTATAAACCTGACGAACAGTGTCGGTGTTAGTTTTGACCCTGCACTTCACTGGGTTCAGCCTCAGATAGCAAACACCTCTGAAGACCATCAGGCCGCTTTCAAAGCAGGTTAATTTTTTAAAGTCGGCACTAATTTTGCAGGGAAGCAAGCGCTCTGCTATTCCCACATTTGCTAACATAAAATTAGAAAATAGAGCTGGTTATCATCTATGTGTATCACAATCAGCAGTATTAATAAACCTTACTTGATATTAGTCTCTTTATGTTTGGTTTACCAACTGAATGCATGTCGCTGATGTTCGGACCATTTTCATGTCGCTGATGTTTGGACAAAAATATGCCCTGTGATCCATGTGCCAGAATCAAACGCATTTTTGCTATTGTTTTATTGCTTGTTGGCCTTTATTAACATCAGCTGTGCTGCAAGAATGATAAAAGCACTCTTAGTTTAGTGGTAGCAGTAAGAAATATTAATACTAACATTTAACAAATCCACAGTGTACTAGCATAAATTGTGGCCTAGTGCATCAGTTCATGTATCACAGTAAAGGCAGTTTTACCAGATCAGTGAGCTGCAGCTCCTCTTACTGAACATGAACTCATAAAGAATTTACTGTTCAGGAAATGTCGCACCTCCCTGCTAAAATAGAGATTCTGATTGGTTTTACCGCTGTACCAATAATTTAAAAAGTGGTGAGTCAAATGCCCACTCACCCCCCTGGTCCTGGCAGCCCTGACTTTAAATGAACTGCTCTTACAGTGGAGACCAGCTCAGTAGTATAAACTGGAAACATTATTCAACCATTTAACAACTTTAAACAAAATGTGTTACAGTTTCTCTTAGGATTAAATGGGATTTTTGTCAGCGTTCTGTACAGCTTGTCCAACATGGCACATTTCTGGGCAGAGCATGTATGGACCATCTATACCACTGATGCCACTAATATTATTTCCCACTCTGCAACAGACATGACTATAGAAAAACTGATTTAGAAGATACAGCAGTGTGATTTAACTCAAAGTGAATAAGAAGTACTTGCTTTTGTTTGGCTGAAGTGAAGCAAACTGAATAGGCCTCTTGAAGACGCTCAGCTCTGTAGACAGTCTAACTCCTTTGTGTACTATACTATGTGTCTGTATTTGGTTTGCTTTGCAGTGTTTGTTTTGAAAATGTTTTAATCATTTACTTCAGAGCTTCCATTTTTTCATTTATGGAATAAAAACTAAACCCATTTTCATACAGTCTGAATGGAATGAGAGCATTTTGTAACTGTGCAATTTTAGTTCACATTTTGACTTGATACAGCATTTCTCTCTTTCTCTCTCTCTCTCTCACACACACACACACGCACGCACGCACGCACGCACGCACGCACGCACACACACACACACACACAGTATTCTGGCTTGCTTTCCAGTCCACTATCTACGAGCCTGTAGTAAGTAGTGTGACTCTGATAAGTACAGGGATCAACTCCCACAGACGAAACAGGCTTTACTCTGCTGTTGGGTTAAACAGAAGGGCAAACATACTTTGGGCAGTCTCGGAATCAGACACAACACAGATGCTCTAAGATAGCTGTTGAAAGACTTCACTCAGCCATGGACTTGAGCCAGTTCACGCTGAATTTCAACAAAACAGTGAATCATTTTCTTTCCCTTTTCCAATATTTTGCCTTTGACAAGATAATGAAAAAATGTATGCAAACATCATTTCTGTGCAATAAAATATAAACTATTCAGACAAAGTTAAAAATGGATAAAATATGAGGAAGAACCAAAGGTACACTAGTTGACTGGTGTCGCAGGGCTTGACAAGAGACATAAAACTTATCATAAGTAAGCCGAATGTGTAGTTTAAAAAATATTAAACTCACTACACTAGGCTTAATGTCAGGGAGAGCAGGGATCATCCTGACATATTTTGGCTTTTGCTAAATAATTTTAAAATTGAGAGATTTTTTATTCAAGTAACTTTTAAATCTCTGCTACAAATGAACACTTAGGTTCCAAACACCATTTCACAATCCAGCCATAATGTTCCAACATAATTGTAAGAGATTGAAGGGCTATTTGTAACAATTGCTAAAAAGTTGATGCAAAATATAATTATGCTGCAAAACAGTGCTATATTACAACCAACAAGAGGGTGATTAAAACAATATAGATGTAAATTCGGTGACTTACACACACAACTCAGTAACTGAAAAGCAAACAAAACAAAAAAAAAAAGTTACTATTACAGTTTTTAGGGTGAAATATCTGTCCAATCGCTGTCAACATTTGCAGATGACTTTGCTTCGGGAATATGAGAAGATGATGAAAAGGACTTTAACTTTTTTAACTAAATAAAGCATCCATGTTATGCTTTACCTTACATTAGGTTGTGCCCCACTCTCTCCCTGATTTTAAAGAGACATAAAACTTTCTACAAGTAAGCCTAATGTATGATTTTAAATGGATCCATATGGATTTTGCACCCTGAAGCTGTGTTGGGCTCAGTCCTGCACAAAGCTACACCGAAGAGAATCAGAGTTGAACACACTGTGCTGCTGTATTTATCACACAGAAAGAAGAAGGAAGCCAGAATCACTGCAGTGAAATACAGTCTCATCAACACACTAAAGAAACTCAACCAGGGCCTGAATAGGAAAAGATCCAGAAAGAAAGAGAGAAGAACAGTCACCAGCCAATAGGTGTTGAGAAAAGCACAAACCGTGGAATTTGTCGCATTTCAAAGTTAATCATACGGACATCAGAAAAAACTATATTTTTAGAACACAGCCCACAATCTGATTGTAAACATACCAGTCCTTGTTTTTATAGGCAGGCAACTGGACATTTCACCATTTCACATCATTTCTGATGGCAGCCATTACACCATGAGGAAAATATTATCCTGAACAAACCTTTTTCAAAACACTGACAACTTTACTATTAGCTGCTTTATGAGTCATTTTCCAAGCAGTTCAGACAAATAAGACACCATGTAAAGACATAATTGTAGTCCTAATGATGCAGACAGAGAGGTTACTTCACTTAGGAAATTGTTATGTAATGGTTTCCTGTGCCTGGGAATACTTGGGAAGACCAAAAGAAGTTCCTCGGAAATTTAAAGGTGCTCACTTGCTTCAGAGTCCAAAAGAAACATTCAGAACTGGCCAAACAGAAAAAACACTACATTAAGGAATACAGCATATCAAAACCTCACCATAAGCTTAAAGCATATCAAAACCTAAGCACCTAATTTTGACATACAATCATTTCTACTTAAGAATCATTATGTGTATAAGAATTACATAAGCACCGTTATATCTAGATATGAGTCATATGAGCCTTCTACACATAAGGCCTGACAAATGCAGGGGGAAAAATATGTAGTTAAAAGTGGGAGCTATATAAAGATGTTTTAGCGGCTGCATGGTCCACAGGCTCACGTTATGTAATTGGATAGCACAAACTCTCCTAGTCGTGTCACTCTGTGCCATATCTTTATTCCTAGAGGCCTAACCAGAGGGCTACCCAGTGCTCAGCTCACACAGCCTCCATAACAACACCGGCCCGTTCCCATGCCCCTGGCAGCCATGTTCCTCAGGGAGAACACATTAGCTCCACACAACAGGAAACTCTTTCTGTGTGTCTCTTTCTGTCTTTCTGTGTACTTTAAGAGGTCTAGAGGCTGACGCTTATTAACATGGACATAAAGTACATAGGATATACAAGGAATCCAGTCAAACTAGTAAGCAAGATGCAAATGGAATATGACAATGAGAAACCAGGGCAACAACTGCCTTCAGGGCAACAAATACCAATGCAAGGCTGCCAATGAATTTCACATTAAATGTCACAAGAGATGCAGACATGGTCTGAAATGGTGTGAAAATGACAAAATTTGTTGTTAAAACAAGTGTGGGGCTAGTTGGACTATGTAAGATTGTTTTGGTTAAAATTGAAAGCAAAGAAGGACTAAAATACACGAAAAGCCACTAAAGTCTGAAATAATAACTAAAACGTTAGGAGTGTTAGGTCAGATTTCACAGGAGCATTTTGGAGCATGTCATACGTCTTTATGTATTAATGTCACACGTACTGCCTCAAAAGGAAGGCCTGGCTCAATGTTTAGGTCCCAAATGCAAAATCAACATTATACTGATGAAAATATGATGACAATAGTGATAATTCACTTATTTTTATCGGAAGACAGGACTTTCACAAAGTTTGGACTGAGTTCTCTTGGAATACTCTTTCAACACCCTCCTATCATCAGACTCATCAGCTAGGAGAAGGGGTCCAAAACACAACCAACGTTTTTTCTTCCGTACATTGCACACAATTACACATATCTACCAAAGAGGTCTCCAAACCCCCAAATCTTATATAGTGTAGCTTTAACATCCTCTTAGAAAAAATCTTGTTAAGGCCACTGATTAGCATCCCACAATGGCTTCGTTTCTTTGGACCCAAACCTATTTCACATGTCAAAAACGTTTAAGAAATCCAGACCTCCTGTTCTTATCTTCTCAAACCACATGACCTCACTACACGCCCACACGACAAACTGCAGGCTAAATAAGCCCTGTGTGAATGAATGCGATGGGGATGGCTTGATTCAAAACAGATGCCTCCTCCTTTATTTTTTACAGCCATACATCACATGTATACACTGCATGCTGCTCTCAACATGCCGTCCATATTTTCAACTTTATAACATGGTTTTTCTCAGCCGGATGTACATACAGTCCGTGTATGCAAACTAAGTGCAAACAATGCCTGTTTTGAATTCAATGTTTTTGTGATGTAACGGAAACCAAATTATTTTCATACATTTACTTATATTCAGCTTTTATCAGTTTAGCCCCATCCATTCATGCTGAAGTTATAAGGTGAGCACATTAACCAAAACGGCCTATTTAAAGGACCTATATTCTATATTTTTACTGTATTCTGTACAGGTCCACTTACCACCTTTTACAGAAAACAGTTATAATTAATTTTTAAATGACTATTTTCCAACTTCTCTTTATCCCTTAGAATCATAAATGACCTCTGTTCTGATTGGCTGACCTGTCTTGTGCCCTCATTCAATAAACAGTCCAAGCTCAAACACTCTTTATAACATCAAAGTGTATAAGCAGAGCTAAACTGCTGTAGGCTGAACAGCTTGTTATGTATCAAAGCATGAGTTTTCATGGCATGACAAAAACAACGAATTCAGAACAGGCTGTTTTTGTAGCTTAGTTTCCATATATGGACTGGGAAGTGAAAGGTATATTTAGAAACTTTATCAACAGTTACATACTATATCAAAAAAAGCTAATGAAAATTCAGTTTTCCATGATATGAGCCTGTTAATTCTAAGAGATAAATATATGTTGGTCATACAAATGATCATATAAAAATGAAAAATAAGAAGTTTTTGTTAGGATGTGGGCATTGTGTGAAACATTTTTCAAATAATTTGGAGGGAAAAACAACATAAATCAGAGTGATGGGAGTGACTATATTCTTTTTGACAAACAGCGCCCCCTCGTGCGCACAAAAAGGCACTGCAGGGAAAGGATAGATGCGACATCATTCGAGAACAATGGCTAGGTTTCTGGAAAATCTGCACTGCGCAGCAGCAGAAACATACCATTAAATATAATAAATATACAGCAAACTAATGTATATTATGAATTCACAAAGACTGAATTGATGAAATCATAAAGATTGCCAGTCTTATAGTCACACAATCTTCCCTTCATTCATTGTTCTTTCTGCGTACTAAACTGTAATCTCTCCAGCAGGCAGCAGTAGAAAGGGCCTTTACCACGCGACCCCAGCCAATGTTTGTAAACATGCGTCAGTAACATGTGATTCCGATGTGCCGGTCTGGCCAATCAGGCTCCGGGGGAGTGTTTTGTGGGCGGGGCCGGCGCGTTGCGCCGTGGAAAAATCGATTGGGATCCTGTAATGATGCAAAGAGGCTCTGCTTAAAGAATGGAAGCAGCAGATGAGAGTGGGTCAGATACCAAACAAGTGGCAGTGAGCGCATCGCGGGACACGGAAACAGCGAAAGTGCCTGGATTCATCTCATCCAAGTGAGTAGAATTCCTGCACTTCCAGTTCTTCGTTTATAAACCTGTTTAAAACGCTCCGTCACTGACCCATCACACAAAACTGTCTACCATCAACGCGTCCGCCACTTTAAAGCCTTTTAAACCAGAGAGGAAGGTTAGCGTGACCCGCCTGTTGAAGA